GCACAGGAAACCAATAGTGATGGAAAGGAAACTGGGACTTAAATCAAGGGAGTGGACCAGAAGGAAGAAAAAAATGACCAAACAGAAAAATATGAAGAAACAAGAATTTAAAAAAATGAGGAGAGGCTAAGGAACCTCCAGGACATCTTTAAATGCTCCAACATCCGAATTATAGGGGTACCAGAAGGGGAAGAAAAAGAGCAAGTGGAAAACTTATTTGAACAAATAATAAAGGAGAACTTCCCCAATCTGGCAAAGGCAATAGACTTCCAGGAAATCCAGGAAGCTCACAGAGTTCCAAAGAAGTTGGACCCAAGAAGGAACACATCAAGGCACATCATCATCATATTAGCCAAGATTAAAATGAAGGAGAGAATCCTAGAAGCAGTAAGAGATAAGGGGACAGTCACCTACAAAGGACTTCCCATCAGACTGTCAGTGGATTTCTCAAAAGAGACCTTACAGGCAAGAAGGGGCTGGAAAGAAGTATTCCAAGTCATGAAATCGAAAGACCTACAACCAAGATTGCTCTATCCAGCAAAGCTTTCATTTAGAATGGAAGGGCAGATAAAGTGCTTCTCAGATAAGATCAAATTCAAGGAGTTCATCATCACTAAGCCCTTATTATATGAAATGTTAAAGGGACTTATCTAAGAAAATGAAGCTAAGAAATATAAACAGTGAAAGGACAGCAAACTTACAGTTATTAAGAACCACACCTAAAACAAAAGCAAACTAAGAGGACAGCTAGATCAGGAGTGGGACCATAGAAATGGAGATCACATGGAGGGTTAGCAACAGGGGAGTGGGAGGAGGAGAAGGGGGGAGAAAGTACAGAAAATAAGTAGCATAGATGGTAGGTAGAAAATAAATAGGGGGGAGAGCAAGAATAGTAGGGGAAATATAGAATCTAAAGAACTTGAGACACATGTTCATAAACTAAAGGGGGGAATGGTGGAGGAGGGGGTGTGCAGGATGGAGGGGAATGAAGGGGGAGAAATAGAACAACTGTAATGGCATAATAAATAAAATATATTTTAAAAAAAGAATCACATAACATCATTGACTTCCATCATAATGAACACTTGGCTTAAAAATACTTGCTGAAGATTTCCTCGGGTTGTTTCCTGGGTGTGGGAAGAGTGAGCTTTCACTGCCTAGCAGAGTTCCCAGCCCACTAACAACTCAGTACCTATTTGATAAAATGAATAAATGACAACTAATAAACCCATGATGGAGCAATGTAAAGAGCCCTGAAATACGATGCAGCTCAAGGAGCAGGGAATATTCTGAGCTCAGGATTGGATGTGGGTGTCCGGCTCGGGGGCCAAGGAGGCCTTTGCAAGCACGCTATGTTCACGCTGCTTCCTGTGTCATGAGTGATCAAGTCCTTTGTCCCTGACACAGGAGGCTCATGTCTTCTGTTAGAGTCCATGGAACAACAACAGGCTAATTAATTCACTTGTCAGTAGGATATAACCAAATCCCAGCTCCTTCAAATATGAGTTACTTTTGTGACAGCATTATCAGAAAATTAGAAAAGATTGTGCTCTAGCAAATTGCTATTTTTCCATCCATAATTCCCTAAGTAAAACTGATTAGAATGCATTGACATGTTTCTATAAACAAACCTTAAAAGACAGAAAATGGGAGCCTAAGTCACTAAGGTTTTTTTTCAATATTTCCTTGAAGATTGAAAAAACACATTTCTGCCCTGGCTGGTGTGGCTCAGTGGATTGAGTGCCAGCCTGTGAACCAAAAGGTTCCTGGTTCAATTCTGGTCAGGGCACATGCCTGGATTGCAGGTCCCCAGTTGGGGGTGTGGGAGAGGCAAATGGTCATTGTATCTCTTGTACATCAACATTTCTCTCCCTCTCTTTCTCTCTCCCTTCCCATTTCTCTATAAATAAATAAATAAATAAATACATAAATAAATAAATAAATAAATAAATAGAATCTTTGGGGGGGGGAACCACATTTCTCCAGCTATTCCTCAGCTCTCAGCAAAATTAACTTTTCTCGCAAATAATTCTTTTGGGTAGTCTGGGGCTGATTCCTGCAGCCATCTCTTCCCATGGCTGGCATCCTACAGTGATTTCCCCACCCACCGTCCTGTACGCCTGATAGTGGGCACTGGACTTTGCCCACACAATGTGCATTTCTCCAACCCTCGACTTCATGCTTCAGTAGCAGCTGGTTCTGCTAATCCCTCTAGGTCTGGGGGCCTCAACTTCACTTCTTCCTCTTTGGCCTTTTACCTTATCCTCCCCAGTGAGAATCACTTAGGGTCCTGAAACCCACAGGCTCTGGACTTCATGGTGAATGGAAGGAGGGGAGGCCCGGTCACATCTTTAGAAAGACTAAGGAGGCTGGCCTATGAATTCGGGCGGGAGAAGAAAACTCTAAGACCAATTAGCTGTATCTCAGCAACTTTCTGTGAAACATCTGTACCCAATGTTTTCCATTCCTCAACTCCCATACAATTTCTAAAAAGCATACATACATACATACATACCAGCAAAGTCAGACATTTCAGGACCTTTGGCACTTACTGACCATTCCTGTTCTGCTTCCTCTTTTTCATCAGCTCACCAACACACACAGATGCCCTTCTCTCTCTCTGGCTGCTCCTTCTCTGGTTCCTTCATGGTTCATTTTTATCTGCATGTCCCTTAGAAGTTGCTTTTCTCCAGGGCTCTTTCCTAGGCCACCTTCCTCTCTCACACCTCTGCCTCTCCTGAGTAGCCTCCTTATTCCAATGGTTTCCGTCACTTCTGCCCTCATCCAGGCCTCTCTCTGGCGTTCCAGACTCCCCTCCGACTTCCCAATGAAATTTTCTGCTTACATGTGACATATGCACCCCAAGCTCAATGGTTTCAAAGCCTACTCAGCCTATTCTGACAAATCTCCTCCTCCTCCTCCTATGTTCTCTATCTCAACAGATGACGCCACCACCCACCGAATAGCCCAGGAAGAAATCAGAAGCTCCCTCCATCCCTGTTCAATCAGCAGGGCTTGTTCATTCTTTGTCCTAAATCCCCACTATCACTTTTCATTTGCTCCCGGGTGCCACCTGAATCCAGGGCACTGTCATGTCTTGTGGGGATCACTGCCTTTCCCCCTAAAATGCAGCTCCAGACCATTCTCCACTCTGCCGTTATAAAGACCTTTCTAGTGCAATCTTGAATATGTCCTTCTTCCTTAAAAAAAATCTCTGAACACTCCTCAATGCCTCCTAAAGAAGAAATCATTATTATGACTCCAGATCCCTTCATGCACTGGACCTAGTTCACTTCTCCATCTTCATTTTCTCGGGTTAAATGCAAATACTACAGGCCTGATCCCTGGTTTCATATGTCTCAGTCTGATGGAGGACACAAATGGAATGGAAATGAACCACTGAAGCAGTATCTATGTTTTTCCAAATGTTATGAAGACGGGAGACAGGAATAATTGCAGACTCCATTGGGACTGTGGTCAGGGGGTTTGATTTTCTATTTCTTAAAACTGAGACTCAGGAGGAGGAACAATCTAGGAAAGATTATAAAGATCTGTTTTGGGTAATAAAAATATACGTAATGCATTTTAAAGTATTCGTTGCCGATTACATACACACATACATACATCTCCTCACAATGCCTTGATTTCTGTCCTAAAAAATGATCTTCTTTCTAAGACTGATGTAAGAGTTCATGCATCACTAGGCTGGCAAAGTAGAGTGTGGCAGGAAGGCTGCAGAGGCTGGTTGCTTTTTGAGCACTTGATTTTTATCCCATGGTCAACAGAAAATTATGGAAAATTTGAAACTGGGAAAAGACAAGGACTAGGTATGCATTCTATATTGTCCATTTAGCTTTCTGTGTGAAGGACTGGTGGAACCTGGAGGGAACCGGGGGCAGGAAGACCAATGAGAAGGCAGTTGCTGTGGTTTGCAGTGATTCTGAGGAGAAATGAGGGTGACCTAGATTAAAGTTGTGGATGGAAAGATGAAGAAGTATAGGGATTCTTGAGATACTTGATGGTTCCAGATGTAGTTTTAGGGGCTTTACCTATAGAGAGACAGGGAGAAATAAAAAATGGCACTGAGATTTTTAGCTTTAACCAACAGATTGGATGCTGAAGCCGTTCCTTGAGATAGCCAATACTGCCAGAAGTTTGCAGGTGCACACGATACATTGAGTATGGACATGTTGAGTTTCAAGTGCTTTGGGAAATCGATTCAACTGGAATAACCGCTAAGTAATATAATAAATCATGTCACTCTGAATGTGAAACCCTTCCAGAGGCTCAACGTTGACAAGGGTACAATTTCAAATTTCTTAGCAAAACTTATAATTAATTTACCTTTTTCAGTTTCATCTCTGTCCCGTATCTCCACCCAGGTTCCCAGCCCAGACACAATTTTAGTTCCTCAAAGGGGTAACGCTCTCTGCCGTCTCAGGGACTTTGTGCCGCCTGTCCTGTCAGGATCTATTTTATTCTCCTTGCATTCCACGAAGAGTGAGACCCAGGTAAGGTGATGGGATGAAGTGATAAACAAAAGGCAACCTCATCCATGTCCTTGTGGAGTTTACAGAATAATGGCGTAAATACACACTAATCCAACAACTCCACAGATAACTAAAAATTAAATTAAACATTAAAATTGCAAGTGATGTAAGAGCTGCTAACAGAAGGTACTTAGTAAGGATAAGAGGCCATAGTGGGGTTTTGACGTAGTGAAGACTCGCCTGAGAAAGTGAAGTGAGCTAATTCAAAGGGGACAAAAGCTCCGTAGGCTGCGAGAACATCCCTGTATAGGCTCATCACTTGATACATTATAGGGAACTAGGGAAATACTCACTTTTCGTAAAAAAGTTCAGGCCCTGCAGAAAAGGGGGCGGGAACCGGGGTACGGGGGCGGGGGCGGAGGCGGGGCGCGGTGGAAGACTTGGCTATTTTGTCCCTTAGCAGCTGCCCTAGCAGGGCGTTGTAGGCCGCGATCTGGACGCACTGATTACTGGGAGTTGTAGTCTACCCGTGCGAGCAGGCATGGCGGCTTCCATTGCAGTGGGCTGTGGAGCAGCTACTGGCCTCACCCGGAACGTTGGACTCGCCAGGGTGCTGTTGCCTGTGCCGGCCTCTGTCGCCTGCTGTAAGTGGAGCGAGGCTTGAGAGCCAAGGACCAGAAGGGGTGCAGGGCCAGGGTGGGATGACCTCGGCGGAGGATCCTCGTAGAACCTCGAGCTGGGGGAGATTGCAGCATTCACCACAAGGGCAGGGCAAGCTCCAGCATCCCTGATTTTTGCTTTCTGCTCCCGCAGGGGCCCGCGCGGGGTCGGGCCGTCAGCAGAGCACTGGACCTTCCCAGTCCGGCACGTTCCAGCCGCCTCCAAAACCCGTCATCGTGGACAAGCGCCGTCCCACGGGCGAGAAGAGCAGGTGAGGCGGGACCTGGGCACGATTCCCTCGTGCTGTGTCTGCTCTCAGGAACCTGTATTCGCTTTAGGTCTGGGCTGAAAACCGGGGATGAAACTCCCATTGCACTAACTCGTGGGTCGAATTGTTGAGCCTTCGTACGTAAAGCACACCCAACTCAGGCTTGCCTTCCTCGCTTCTTCCAAACTAAACTGAACTTTGTCTGCAGTTTTACTAAATCAGAACTTCAGATGGGGATTTCCCAGCTTCGAAGGTATTAGTGTTTCTGTAGACCTAATTAAAAAGCCAATTGGCGGGGTGCGGAGCGGAATACTTGATGTGAGTACAGGCTTTGCGAAGGGACTCTGGGCTGTTGATTGGATTATCTCTGCTTGTGTGTATATGTTTAACATTTCAAATATTCCGTGGTTCTCAGTTGAAATAAAGTTGAATTTATGGAATTCAGAAATTAAGAAAAGACTTTTATTCAACTTTTTTAAATGTGGAAAAGAAATAGCTTTCTTAAATTGCAGCACTTAATGAATTCAGTTAAATGAAATATAAATTGTGTAATAATTGTGGAAAACAATTTAACACAATTTAGTAGGTTTGAGGTTGTGTATGTTTTTCCATCCAGAAGGGTATAAAACTTAAAGTAATAAGTATGAGAAGATATGTATAAGAGTGCACACAAAAGTATTGTTTGTAAAAAAAAGTAACCTAGATATCTAGCATGTGGGCTATTATATGGCGGTGAAAAATGAATGAGCTAGAGCTAACATGAGCTTCAAAAATACATGTGTAAAAAAGCAACCTGCAGAAGAATTGATATAGTATGATAGCATTTTTATATTGCCTAGACATATATATGCATATATAAGGATAAAAAGTATAGAGGGGAAATTCTCCACTTTCACAGAGCAATCAAACCTAGCTTTCCCAGTAACTCGACAAGCAGAGGTTATGTGCCTCCTGATGTGAAGTAAGATCACATCATCACCTCTGTAATATTTTTACCCAAAATATTTAACTTCGATCTAGGCATGTGGAAACAATAAACAAATCCAGATTCCAGGGACTGTCTATAAGACAGCAGGCTTTGGCTCTTCAAAAAAGTCAGTGTTATAAAAATACGAGGATGGGGAACAGTTCTAGTTTCAGAGACTGAAGAAGAGACTAACAACAGACACAGTGTATGAAGCTTGATTGTAGCTCGGATTGGGCAGCAAACAGCTATCAGACCTTTTCCAGGACAATTAGGTATATTTAAATATGAACTATATATTAGATTATATTTTTTAATTGATGCTGTAATTCTTAGGTGTCATAAAGGAATTGTGATAAGTGTAAGAGAATGTCCTTGTTCTTAGCAGATACCTTCTAAAGTATTGAAGGAGAAAATGCCTTGCTGCTTGTCATTTTCAAATAGTTCAGGAAAAAATCATGGTATATATGTAAATTATGTATACATATGTATATATAAAGTAAATATGTAAAATGTTCACAGTAGGTGAAGTATATTTGGATGTTCATTGTATTACTATTTCAACTTTTGGTAGGTTTGAACATTTTTTAAGTAGGGAATTGAGAAAAGGAAGAAGTGCATAGGGTAATCATTGCCAAATTTAATTACAGCACAGTAATTACAGGGGTAGACAGGGGTGCACAGGGGCTTCAGCCACATTGATGATTTATTTCTTGAGATGAGTGATAGGGACATGAATTGCATTGTAATGTCATTTATACTTTCCTGTAGATTAACATTTTATAATGAGTTTAAAATTAGTTCAAGAAACTAGGAAGATTCTTTTTTAAAGTCAGTTCGATTATTTATGTTTGTGTCTTTTGCAACATACTTTATTATAACACGTGCAATCTAACATGCGGCCCATGGTTATGGTCACAGGCTTTGGAGTCTGATGGACATTTATATCTTGACTTGGTAAGTTTACAGCTAATAAGACAAGTTAGTTATGTATCTTCTCTAAGCTTAATTTTCATCTGTGAGAAGGAGACAATGACACCAAACCACCTGGTTGTTGTGAGGATGAAATTATGCTGTAGATGTGCTTTTAACACAATGCCAGGCGAGTACCCAGGACTATTAGCTATTTTCATAAGTACTGACAACAATTTTAGAAACAAGATAAATATTTCTTATTTAGAGATGGAAGAATAAAATGCTTCAAAATTATAATCTATGTTTTTTTTTAAAGAAAACGCAGACTCTTTTTTTAATGGTCTTTAAAGTTTGCTTTTAATTTTTTTTCCTGCAGATTCTTGAGTCCTGAATTCATTCCTCCAAGAGGGAGAACAAAGCCTCTGCTATTTCAACTAGAAAGAAAAGACATGTTAGCAAGGAGAGGAGTGCTCCACATTCCAGAGTTCTATGTCGGTCAGTAAAGGCCGGATGCTTTTATTCTTAGTGGCTGGGGGGGGGGTTAGTTTTCTCGGCATAGAGAAGGTTGTTTTTCATATACCTGGGTTTTGCCTATGTGAGGTTCTTATTTCTAACATTACACCAAAGTCTTTAGGAAGTTACACGGTTACCTAGAAACGCTGTTGTTTGTTTCTGCGCCTGAATTTGTAGGAAGCATTCTTCGCGTCACTACGGCGGACCCATATGCCAGTGGGAAAACCAGCCAGTTTCTGGGGATTTGCATCCAGAGGTCAGGAACGGGGCTTGGAGCGACTTTCATCCTCAGGAATACTATTGAAGGACAAGGTAGGTGGGGTTCCTTTTATTTGGTTTTTGGAAAGTGTCATTTCAGGATTCTTTTATTTTCTGCACACTGGGGTAAGACATCTGTAACTCAACAGTTCGTGGGGGCTCCAAGGGATGACACGGACCCCGTGGCCTAAGAAGGTGTGGAAATTGAGGTGGCTGATTTGCTTTCCCTCAAAGGCTTCTTTTACTGCAGGGACAGCTGATAGAGGTGGGCTTTGCAAACTGGCAGCGTCACAGGAGGAGACCAATGACTGCAGCAGTGTGGGCACATTCATTTTAGGTGCAAATAGCCCTTGAGAACATTATGAGCATAATGACGTCTTTGCGAGTTCTTTCTCCTAAAATGAATGGTCCCTGGTTTGCTTTATGTTAATAGCAGTCACCACAGGATGGGTTTTATAAGAATCGGGGAAATTTTTATAAAAAGCAAAATTAGGTAAGCTATGCCTCATGAGGCAGAGGAACAAGTGGTAAAATTTTAGAAAGATTATGAATCCAAATGACAGGAGCAGTCAAGTTTCCATTCTGTATGTCGTGTGCTGTGTGACCCCCGGTGGCAAGGTGTCACATTCAGAAGGAATTGAACATGTGGGAACAGTTGCTGCCTTTTTTAACCTGCAGTGACCTGAGACGCTGTGCTTCACTCAGGTCCTGCACTGGAGAAACCTCGTCATAGAGAAGCACCAGCACAGGTGTGAGTCAGACAGACCTGGGTTTGATTTTCTTTAAAATTGAGATAATAGTTTCTACCTCCTGGGGTTGTGGTCAGCTGATCGTGGTGTTGTACATGAGGTGCTGGACACAATACTTAAACGTATGAGCTCCTTGTCGTTCTGTTTTTTAAAGATTTTATTTATTTATTTTAGACAGAGGGGAAGGGAGGGAAAAAGGAAGGGAGAGAAACATCAGTGTGCAGTTGGCCTCTCACACTGGGAATCGGACCAGTAAGTCTTTGGTTCACAGGCCGGCACTCAGTCCACTGATCCACACCAGCCAGGGCTTCTCCTTGTCATTCTTTACAGAGTATTTTGACTATAACCTGCCTGTCCCTTCCCCATCAATACTCCCTTTTTTGGTGGTCCTTTCTAGGCCAGTGACTTTGACTCTCATCCTTATGATGACCATTCCCAAATATATATCTTGAGTATGAACCCTTTCCAAATTCCATATTTGCATATACAACTACCAACTTGGCATTTCCATTTGGATATCTTCTAAGCATAAAATAAGTTCAAAGGAGAACTCTTTATTTCCCCTCACAGTGTGTTCTTTTCAAGTTTTTTTCCCTATTTCTACAAATGGTACCACTCCTCACCCATTTAATAAAAAGTTTAGGAGCGCTTTTTTTTTTTTTTAATAACATCAATATGTGGTTGCTTCTCACATGTGTCCCGCACTGGGGACCTGGCCCGCAACCCAGGCATGTGCCCTAGACTGGGAATTGAACTGCAACCCTTTGGTTTGCAGGCTGGCTTTCAATCCACTGAGCCAAGGTGCTGTTTTTAATTCCCTTTCACTCACTCAATCAGAAGATTTTTATAGCTCAGTCTCCAAAAAGTATATCCCAAGTTTGTCTGTTTCTCCGTCTCCATTGCTACTGCCCTTGTCCTCGCTGCTGCCTTGTGCTGGCAGCTGTGCGGTTTCCCTGGGTTACGTTCCTGACTCACCAATGAGCATGCTCCAGACGAGTGGGCCTTTTTCAGGTTTTTCAAACAGGGCAAGTTTGTTAAGACCCCAGGGCCTTAGCATTTCCCATTCTTGCTGTCTGGAGCATTCTCGGCCCTTTGTAGTTTAGGTTTAAATGTCACCTTTTCAGAGAGGCTTTCTCTGACTTCGCTATTGAAAGTCACCGCTTCCCATCCACAGTGTCATCGCCCTGTGTTGCTGGTTTGTCTGTCATCCACTAGACTGTCAGCTGTATGAGAGGAGGAGATCTGCTGTCGGGGTTCTGCTGTAGGCACAGCTCCTAAATCAGTGCCTGAACCAGAGTAGTTGTGCAGGAAATACTGGATGTTAACGTGGATCATGTACTTTACTATTTCTGTTTTCCTTGGGACCATTCCAGGAAACCTTAGAATATACTGTTGCCATTAAGCATTTGGAGGTACAGATGGTATATATTAAGTTGTTACTTGTAGCATCTTGGAAACATTAAAAACTGTTCTTAGCTTGCTTCCTACAGAAAGCTCCATAGTGTTTAAACAATAATGACAAAAAAAACCCCAACAAAACAAAACCAAAAAACCCACCAAAAATGAGGCTGTCCTTACAAGGGCTTCTAAACCAGTTAGAATTTTAAAATGTATTTACTCTTTTTTGCATCATCAATCCTCTTCCTCTTAATGTAGATGACAGAGCTCTATTTAAATAATTGGGAAATAAACTACACGACAGTGAAAAATTTACTCAAATTTTCTCCAAATAATACTGTCAGAATTAAAGAGCTATTTTCTCAGTGTATTTATAGCAGACATCATTCCTTTGACTTTAAAGATTGAAATTTATGCCACATTTCCTGGCTGAACTTTCCTGCCTTGTGCTCGTTCCTTGATGAAATAGCTTTCACTGCATTGGGATGCTCATGCAGGAATCTGGACTTCGATTGTAAGGATGTTTCCTTCTCTTCTTAGGTGTTGAGATTTGCTTTGAACTCTATAATCCTAGAATCCAGGAGATCCAAGTGGTCAAATTGGAGAAGCGTCTGGATGGCAGCTTGCTGTACTTACGAGACGCCCTTCCCGAATACAGCACTTTTGATATTAACATGAAGCCAGAAGTACAAGAATCCAGCCAAGAGGTTCCTGTCAATCAGGTATAAGTTGAACACTTCAAACTGGAAATTGAAGTATAAAATAAGAGTCATCTTAATGAAACCTTTAAGAGAATTTTGCTTGTGACTATCAGCCTAATTTGTCCCCCTCCCGCCCCCCTTTTTTAATCTCTTCCTCAGCTGAAAGTGAAAATGAAGCCTAAGCCCTGGTCCAAACGCTGGGAGCGCCCCAAGTTTAATATTAAAGGGATCAGGTTTGACCTCTGCTTAACTGAAGAGCAAATGAAAGACGCTCAGAAGTGGAGTAGGCCGTGGCTTGAGTTTGACATGATGAGGGAATACGATACTTCAAAAATCGAAGCTGAGATATGGAATGAAATTCAAGCATCGAAAAAGTCTTGATCTGAAAATGTATTTAGCTTCTTGCAGATAATACACTGACAGAGGATTTTTTAGAGACCAATTTAATTTCGTATATTAGGACATAGTCATTCAATCAACTAAGCATTCATTATTTTATGACTTACTGTTTTAAAATTTTTAAATTAGTACATCTGTTTATTACTTTAAAAGGTGAAGTACACATGCCAAGTGGTCTGGTGTCTGTTCTGTTACTGGAGGCGAAGCTAAAACAGAGTTAGGTTAGCACAGAATCCTCTCACGTAAAGTGGACAAGGAAGCAGGTGTGCAGCCCTGACCAGCAGGATGCACCCCCGCAGGCAGGCACGGCCCCCCCCACATCTCCAGTCTGGCGTCGGAGCAGTGCAGGTGGCCTGTGGTGTCTCCACTTGTGGACGTCACTGGAGTCCCCCATGTCCACCACCTGGTACCCAGTCCTGGTGAAGCAAAGGGGAGCAAAGGCCAGTGGCCGGGCAGGACAAGTGCACTGTCTTCCGGAGCATCAAGGCAGGGCATGGTCACTTCGGGAGGCATTGGGGGCAGAGAACAGAGGGTGAGAGAAGGTATCTGACCCCAGCTCCCCTGGGTCTTCCAAGCCCCTGCCCTCCCCGCTCCCAGCTCCCCCTGACCCAGTCCCCGGAAGCCAGGCCGGGAGACCACAGCTGGAGGGGCTCTGGCTTCATGGGCTTTGCCAGGTCTCCATGTCCACTACCCTTGGAGAGGACCTAACTCAGTCTCTAAAATCTAAATCGGACCATGTCTCTTCCCTGCTTAAAGTGCTGCTCTGTGGGGTAAAGTGCATGAAAGGAGACTGGAGCCTGACTGGCATGGGGGCTGCCCCTCAGCAGCCCTGAACCCAGCACTGCGGTCGGGGGTGATGGACGCTTTTATCAAAACCATCAGTGAGTGCTGATTTTATGTCCCTCACGCTCCATTTTGAAAGGTGGGGAGCATGGAATGCACTTTAGAAGGATACGAGGACGGTGGTGGTTCAGACCTGGGCTCCGGAGCCAGACCTCAAGCTGCAGTCCCGGGCTCCCCGTGCTGCGTGCGTGGCCTTGGCCGGTCACCGAACCTCCCTGCGCCTCAGTTCCCTTATGTGCAAAGTGGGGGCTTAGGTGGCCTTTTACTCACGGGACGTCAGGACTAAGGAGTGTTTGGAAATGCTTAGGAGAATGGCACCTGGTGAGCCAGTGTTTGGTGTTAATAAATAAAATTTGTGTACTTATTAAGTTAACATGTACATACACAGACTTGACTTCTCAAACTCTATTTAATTGCATCCAGCCCTAAACTTGTCCCCGCCCTGGGACCCACTGCTCTCCCCGTGTGAACACACACCCCACCCCTCTCCTGTTTGTGCCGTTCAAAGGAAGCCTTAGCACGGACACGGACACCTGTGAGCTCGACCTGCCCCCTCCCTGGCTCACAGCCGGGCGCACACATTGGTCCATCCATTTCCTGTTGCTTCAAACACTTGGTCGTCAAAGGCCAAGTTTTCTCGTGAATCAACTGAAGACCATGGAGCCGGCCCCTGCCGTTACCACAGTGACTCCCCTGCTCTCTCCTGCAGTGAGTGACCGCAGGTGGCACCATTTCCTCTGCCTGTGCCTGGGGCGGTGGGGGGGTGGTTCCCATGGCTTCGGGCCCTGTGTTCACTGTGTGGGCAAATCCGGCCTCCGCAATGTTCTAGTTACTGTGTTTTCAGGGGCTCCAGACCCCTCATCCCAGTGACCTCATGAGACAACTGGCAGGGGGACAGACCTCAGCCCTGTCAGGAGGGAGCCACTTGAGGCTGGGTTAGCACCTGTCACCAGAGCCACATGTCTGAGTCATGGCGAAGGAGTGGTCATTTCATCCAGTCGCAGGGCAGGGACAGGGGCAGTGATTATTTTCCCGTCCCCAGCATTGCTGGGGCCAAAGTGTGTGCCCCCTAATTTTTATCTCGAAACCCTTAACACCACAGCCTCAGAGTGTGACTGTATTTAGAAATGGTGTCTTTAAAGAAATATTGGGTTAGCCAAAAAGCCCAATTTTTTCATAAAGTAAAAGATCCATCTTCCATTTTCACTAATAACTTTATTGACTTGGGTGTTTTGAGTACGTTGGCTCTCTCCCAGGTGGTAGAATGTTGATTGTTCTCAATCACTGTCTCGATTTGATTGCCAGCAACTTCCCCTGGTCCACCTGACTGCACAGCACGGTCCAGCGAGAAATCTCCAGCACGAAACTTCGCAAACCACTTTTGACATGGTCGATCAGTCACAGCACCTTCTCCACACACTGCACAAATCCTTTTTCGTGTGTTTCATTTGTTTTTACCTTTCTTGAAGTGATGAAGCATAATACTCTGAAAATGTCACATATATTCTTCCATCTTCAATATTGACATGGCTACACAAAAATTCACCAGTTTGATTTTTTTTAAAATGCATGCTGATATGACAGCTCTTACAAAACAGATTTTTTCGAATGAGCTAAAGACACCTAAGCACCACTACAGCCATTGTACAGAAAACAAACTTGTTTGCCAACCCAATAATTAAGGTAAAATGAGGCCACTAGGGTGGGCCCTAATCCAACAGGACTGGTGTCCTCACTAGAAGAGGACATCGGGACACTGACTCAGAGGGACGACCACGTGAAGACACAGGGAGAAGGTGGTGGTCTGCGTGCCAAGGAGGGGGGGCCTCTGCAGGAAGCAGCCCTGCCCACGCCTCAGTCTCGAACTTCAGCCCCTTGGACCGGGAGAAGCACCTGTCTGTGGTTGAAGCCCCGGTCACTGAAGTTTGTCGTGGTGGCCCTGGCCCAGGCTTCAGTGCTCCCACCGCTGTCTGCATTGTTGACGAGGCAGCTTAAATTAATGGTCGTGGGTTCTTGGAGGACCTTCCAGGGGAGAGTGGGGTCTGTGGCCTCTTCCCTGGCACCCAGGTGGGCTCGGGGCCACTCTGACAGATGGAGGAAGGAGAAGTGGTGCCAGTGCCCTCTGAGCTGGCTGCTCTGCTGGGGTTTGGGAATGCTTGTGTGGGTGCACGCCCTGGGGCCCAGCCAGGCGGCGGGGAGCCTGGGCCACAGAGGGAGGCCCCGTGTAGACTCTTGGTTGACAGGCCTACCAGGTTCGACTCGGACCCATCTCAGCTCAGGCACTAGACATGAGGGAGGAATCCTCCAGAAAATCCCAGCTCCCAGCCATTCCAGTCGTCCCCACCGGTCTGAGTCCCCTCATAAGAGTTCCTGGACGTCGGGGAGCAGAGGATGGGGAGTGATTATTTATCACTAAATGATACACTACAATGTGTGCATGTACCACAACTTCTTTATCTGTTCGCCTGTCACTGGATGATTGGGTTGCTTCCATGTCTCGGCTGTGGGAGACGATGCTGCTGCACCCCTTCAACGTGGGGATGCAGACAATCCTTTGAGTCGAAGTTTTCATTTCCTCAGATATACCCAGTAATGGAAATGGTGATCATATGGTTGTTCTTGTTTTAATTTCTTGAGATACCTCCATACAGTTTTCCATAGCGTTACCAAACAAAACTGAGGGTCACATGAGAGCCAAACTTGTGAGGTAGGTGCTGATGCAAAAGAGGTTTATTCAGGCGCCGCACAACCTGGGAGAAGGTGGACTCCGTCTCGAAGACCATCTCCTTCTTCCTGCTCAGACCGGCAGTTCTGACGGGGTTGGGGAGGGAAGGGCCTTTTATAATGCAGTTATCCTTCTAGCTTTTGGCGTGCTCGGGCCCTATGCATTCATCTTTTTATCTCTCCATGCATGTTAGGGTCCTGTCCACTCACGATGCTCGCTAGCTTTCTGGTGTGCAGATGGTGAGAACTGCCCCCTGCCACTGTCTCGGCCCGTGGGTGGAGAGTCCCCTGGCACTCGCACTCACTGTTTTATGGTAACTCCCACCGACTGTTTTATGGCTGTAGCAGTGTACAGTCCCACCAACAGTGCAGAAGGGTTCCCTTTTCCCCCCATCCTTGCCAGCACTCATTCTGTCGTGTCTTCGTGACGAGAGCCATTCTCGCAGGTGTGCAGTGATGCTGTGGCTTCGGTCTGCACTTCTCTGATGATTAGCGAATTTGAGCACTTCGTCGTGCACCTGCTGTCCATTCCTGTATCTTCTTTGAGAAACATCTATTTGTGTCTTTTGCCCATTTTAAAGTTGGATTGTTGTTTTGCTATTGACTTGCATGAGTTTTTTCTATATTTCTGTGGCCTAAAATATGATCTATCCGAGAGCATGGTTCTGTGTGGTCGAGAACACGTATTCTGCTGTTGTTGGATGGACTGTTTTGTGTGGTCTGTCAGGCACGTGAGGTCTCTAGTATGTTCACACCCACTCATTGATTCTTTGTCTGCATGATCCATCCACTGTTGAGAGGTGGGTGTTAAATTCCCAACTTTTAATGGACTGCTGTTTATTTCTCCTTTTAGCTGTTAGTTTTTGCTTTAGGTGTTCTGATGTTGGGTGCATGAATATTTATGATTACTATATCTTCTTGATAGATGGACCCCTTTATTGTTATATAATGACCTTTATTTGTTCTTTATTTCAATCTCTCTGGTTCTATTTTGCTTGTGTGTTTGTTTTATTGATCAGGTTCCACTTATAAGTGAGATCATATGGTACGTGCCTTCCACTGCCTGGCTTATTTCACCCAGCATAATGCTTTCCGGTTCCATCCATGCTGTCACAGAGGGTAGGAGCTCCTTCTTTCTCTCTGCTGCATAGAATTCCATGGTGTAAATGTACCACAATTTTTGATTCACTCATTTACTGATGGGCACTTAAGCTGTTTCCAGCACTTGGCTATTGTAAATAACACTGCTATGAACATTGGGGTGCATAGGTTCTTTTGAATCGGTATAACAGCCTATTTTAAACGGATAACTTTGCTATCCTTACTAAAAGTTAGACTCTCTCTGTTTAGATTATTTTCCCCCCTCACATTTTAGATTATTGATGCTATAGTTGACATATGTTTTATATTGTATATACAATAACAGATTATTTTAGTTTGGTTTTATTTACTACATTGGATTTTAAAATTTTTAAACTAGAGTTGTAAGTGAATTACATATCACCTTTACTATATTACAGAATTTGACTATATATTTATCAATATCAGTGAGTTTTAGACTACCTTGTTGTGTTTTATGCTTTTAACTACTGTTCTTTCCAATTTAAACTTCCTTTAGTTCACCAGAGTCTCCATTGGAGTGTTGATGGGCTGAGCAACTTTCCAAGTATTCCCAGTCAGGGCTTTTGATCTGGTGGCTCTGGGAGCTCCACTTAGCAGTGGGTTGGACTCCGGATCAGCTCCGCTGCCCCAGCAATGCCAGGAAGGTGATTCCAGGCATCCTCACAGGGTTCCTGGCCAGGCTTTCTGGTCAGGAGGAGCCAGGAGCTACACTCCACAGTGGGTATGTTACAGGATAGTGAGAAGCTAGGGAAATCCTGGGCAAGCAGAATGGGGAACCTGAGACAAGACCAAACAGTTTGAGCAATTTACAGCCAGTTGGTGAATTGTAAGAACTTATCTCCCCTAACCAAGGACACTTGAGAATAAATGGTTTATACCTCTCCATCCTAACCAGAAAGTACATAGTTTAAATCTCCTTGGTTGGGGGATAGAGAACAGAGACCCTATTGTCATTTGTGCCAGCTAAACCCAAGGACAGATGAAGTCAGGGAAAAAAGAACAAAAACCCCATTAGAGCTGGATAGACTCAAGGTTATAGCATTCCAAAGGATAATTTCCCTAAGAATAATCCCCTAAGATTCTCCTCTGCAGGAAAAGGATCAAAAGGCTTCAAGACAAACTCATTGTGGGCTTGTTCTATCTAGCGCATGTCCCTGTCTGTTTCCTGGGCATGAACTTCTTACCTCTTCCTAGACTCTCAGGGTCCCCTGAGACTTGCAGCCAGGGCAGCAGCAGGCAGCGGCAGCTTCACCTGGACTTTCTCTGACTTCCCACTAAGCCAACAGCAGCCCTGCCTTGGCTCACTCCTTTCCTTACAACGTTTGTACAGAGGCAAAGCAGAACTCTCTCTAGGCTCTCTCCTGTTACTTCTCCCCCACGTCCTCCCTTTATTTCACTGTCTCCAGCCTTAATAATCGTACTCTCAAAATCATCTGGACTCATGCCACGAAATCTTCCCTGCACAAAGTCAAGAACCCGCACCCTCCAGACCAGTCCCTGTCTGGTTAGGTAACAGGTGGGGTTGTAAATGAGCTCCTC